TTATATATATATAAATATATAATAATAAAAACTCTTTTTTTTAATAACTTATAAATTATTCGTGTTTAAGTTGTATTTAAATAAAATACACGTCTTGTATATCTGTTAAAATTCTTGATTTTAATCAGGATTTGATCATATTCAATCATTGCAGAAGAATAACTACAAAAACAAAATATGAATGTTAATTATTGGCATTAGAAGTACGAGAAACAAAATTAGAGCAATTTTATGCACTGTACAAGTCTCGTTGTAGCGTATTAATGTTAAGAATACTGAAGAAAAAATATAATTTGAAACTTAACATTAATATTTTATTTATTATTGGAAAAAGTACAATTTAAAAAAATTAACATGCAAGCTTTAAAAAATTAAAATCTTCTGATATCAAGAGAATTTATTATTAATTATATAATTGAATAAAAAAATAAAGGATCTGATTTGAATCATATTTATAAATAGCTTATCCGGCTATCTCTATTAAATAAATTCAATTACTAGAATTAAATATGTATCGAAAAAGAAATACAATTTGAAATTAATATGATTTAAAAGATCGACGAATCTTTATTACATAAAAAATTCAATATTACCCAACATTTGAAATTAACCATTTTTCCATACGCAAAATTCCAAATTGAATGGCATAATAAATAATAAAATTTACAATTTAAAATCAGAAAAAAAATTGTAAAAATTCATTAAAAAAATTTTTCGTGAGTAGGAACGAATTCGTTCGAATTTTAAGCCACAACACGGATTCAATCGAAACTATAAAAAATTGATTTTCACTTTCTTGAACATTCGAATGTTCTTCATTGGCATTAGAAACACGATGAACAAAATTTTTCGTGCACTATATTATAAGAATATTAATTCGAAAATTAATACGATCGTCTTAGTCAGATCAAACTAGCATTTAGAACAGAATGCTTAATTCATCTCTATTTAAACGAACAAATTCAATTTTGTTCAAAATCGTTTTCAACAAAATAGAATTTTGCTGTACTGTTTGAATCGAATCATAAAAAGTAAAAATTGTATCGAGAACAAATTAAAATAATAATAAGAAAGATAGTAGCTCGATAATAGCTCATCTACTGAACAAACTCAATCATTGAAAATAAAAAATTTCAAGTATCGAAAAATAAATAAAATTTGAGAAATCAATATGAAAAAAAAATTGATACAAATAAAATGCTTCATATTGCTATTTATATTAAAACTACAAAATTCTGAAGTGAATTTAAATGAACATGAAATAGAATGAAATATGTATGTTCTTCATTATCATCATCAAGATTCGCATTATAAATAGTATCCATATAATAATCCATATAATAATTAGAAGAGAAGAATTTCTAATTGGCTCAACGCTTAAACATTCAATTCAAAGAATATTAATTTCCATTAAACAAATTAAATCATTAGAATTCAAGTGTCAATCAATTCAAGTATTATTAAAATAAAATATGATTTGAAAATCAACTAGGTTTTCAATCATTCGAAGAAATTATGCAAATGTTAACTATATAAAGAAAATTAAAATATAAAAAGATTTTATAATCACAAAAAAGCTAGAGAATTATAAATAGAATGTTTATAAATCTTCATCTGTTTTTTATCAATTTCAAACGACAATAATGTTATTCTCACTGTAAAAAAATTGATCTTAGTCTCTTTGTGATTTTTTATCTTTTTAACATGAAATATATTATCTTGCATTATTAAATATAGTAAAATGCAACAAAAATATATACTTATGTTCGTTATGAAAATGTTCCTCGTGTGCCTATTTGATATATAATATCATAATCTCTTCGTTTTGTAATAAATAATTGTTACATGATAATTATGTATTATACATTCAATTAAATTTAGATATTAGATATTTATAGCTTTTTATATAAATAATTGATATGAGTTTTATCGAAATTTTTATTTTTTTATTTTTTTCGATAAAACATACTTATATTTTAATTATCATTGTATCAATTTTACACACTAAGAATATATTAAATTAATTGTTAAATAAATGAAAATGATTAAATAAATTCTATTATTAGAAATAGCGAACGTAATTGTTTATTATATTGAGGAACAAATTGAAAATACAATTTGAAAACAAGGACAATATTGAACCGTGTCAACAAATTGAATTCAAATCATTCTATATGAAATCGTATTCAAATGAATATTAATTTTTACAATACGTTGAAATCTCTGAACGATTATGAGAATTTGATCAGAGATTGTAAAAATTTCAAAACTTATTAAAAAATTCCTTCGTAGATGTAGTTGATGTAATCGCTTCATTCATGGAAAATAATTCAATGTTCTCAAAATTTTTTGAGAATGTAAAAACTGTTCATTATTCATTGCAGAAATAAAAAATTCAATTGATATTGATAACATACACCATTTTAATATATATCATAACATACACCGTTTTTAAAAAACAAATTAAATAAATGTATATATAATAATAATAAGAAATGAACTGAAAGAGATTATTTATGAACACAAAATTAGATGCAAAAATTATTTATATATATGTAAGATTTTTTTTAAGATACAGATATTTTTTTTTTTAATAAGAAATAAAAATAATGGAAATGTACGGTCTTCTTTCATTTTCTTATTATTAGAATAGATATTTGTATAAAATATCAAAATATGACTAAAGAAATCAAGTTTAAATGTCAGCTTGGAAATACAAGCATTGCAATAAATGTACAATATATTTTTTCACTATCTAAAAATGATTTAAATGAGAATCTAATTTGCAAAAAGTTCTCAGGAAAAGAAATAACTCTTGAGAATTTTGTTTTCAATTTTGAATACATTTCAAAATAAAACTTTCGAGAATTATTCTCAAGAATATTTTTTACAAGTGATGAAAATAACGATTAAATTGTTCAAATATTAAATTTCCATTTTGAACAGAATGTTCACTTGAAGAAGAAGAAAAAAAAAATATAAGTTTCACTCTCAAATGAATTTACATCTTTTAGGCATCTACCTGAACAATCGTGAATGTAAATGAATGTATGTTGAAAGAATATTAGAATAATTTGTTCGAGCATTGGAGTGCTATTATAACATCAATTAATTATCAAAAAATTAGATACATATGACATATATAGAAAGGAAGGTGAAGAAATTCCCTAATTAGAACAATTACATTTATTTATTGAAAAATAAATACGAAAGATATGTACAGAAACGAACATGAAGAAATTCTCCAATTAGAACAATTTTCGTTTATTAATAAATGAAAAAAGGGGAGTAAACTAGATATAGAAATCTAAAGTGAAGAAATTCTCCAATTAGAGCAATTATTTTCATTTATTCACAAATGAATATGAAAGAGGAAATTGATTCAGACACAGAAAATTAAAATTCATTAAAAATAAATTCTAAATTTTCATTTGGAAAATTGTTTACGATTTAAATCGTAAAGATATAACTATATCAAACAACAAAATTGTTCTATCAATGAAAATATTCAATCCATTGTTGGATAATGTACAAATAAAATCAACAAACTAATCAATTTAAAAAAATTTTAATTAAATCTTATTATTTTATTAAATCTTTAATAAAATAATCTATAAAAGCATTTTTTATTATCAATCATCCATTTATTGTTCGTATATGAATTATTTTGTGACACAAATCGCGTCCAATTTAATATTATGATATCGTTAAAATATCGATAATGAATGAAAATAATTTTTAGTTTTTTTATAATCAAAGTTATTATAAGAAATGTTAATGAATATCTATGGATAAATATTTCATTTTTGATTCAAAATTTATTTTTATTTACTTTTACGTGCTTTTTATAATAACTTTGAACACGAAATTATCACTTTTATCCATTACTGCTAAATCGAAAATTATCAAGATATTATTAAGATATTAATAATTATAATTCTAATTTATAATAATTTTTTTTCATCCTTTGGATGAAAATTCCTTTTTATTGATATTCAATAATGTAAGTAATATAACTTTTATTTTATTAAGTATCAAGTAATATAACTTAATCTATACTTAAAATACGATAAAAATATATAGTCCTATAATATCTAGAGTGATTGGTATGCTACAGTATCTAGAACATCATATTCGAAAATTAGATATTCATTTGATACATATTCGTGAATTGTTTTGACAGATTATTATGAGAATATCATCATTACTTGTATATACTTTATCTGAAAATGGATATGACTGATATCGTAAAAAATAATTCCTTTTATAATTAAAATGACTTCATCTTTTAAATAGTAGTGATTTTCTGCTTGTTTATTAATCACATATCAAAAACAAAAAAATATACAATAGTTTTTTGTTTATTTATTTTGTTTATCTATAATTTCATTATTTGAATTATATAAAAATATTTTTCAAATTCATCAGAATCACTAATTTATTATATTTAATTAATTTCAAAATATTTAAAATAAATACAGAAAATTTTAAAAGAATTTTAAAAGTTTCATATCGATATTACATTAGTTTTCTAATTTTGTATTTGGCTTTATTCTTTTTAAAATTTTGAGAAAATTATAAGTTCCTAGAAGTGTGTGATGTTGCAACATGAAAGATTAGATTGAAGAATATTTTATTTTAAAATTAGCACAGTAATTAATTACTTATTTTTCATATTTGACACATAGTAATTGATTCATGGATTTCTTTTGATATTTTAATTAATATATCTTTTATCTTTTATCTTTTAAATTATATTTTATATACAAAATAAAATAAAGATGACAAAATATAACACACATGCTTTAGAAATAGAAATAACAATACTTTGATTTGATTTGATAAAAATTTGAAAAATTATCTTAATTTTAATATAGTAATTGATATTCTAAAAATATGAGTTTCTTGAGAATTGCATTATGCGAATTGATTCTCATTATATTACCTTCTATATTATATATTCTATTGAAATCAAAAATGATGAAAAGCGTTTGACTTACATGTGTAGTTCCCGACCACTGTCCAATGGTACGAACCGTTCATTTTTTGATAATTCAAGATGGAATATCTTGGTGGTCCGTCAACCTCGTTCACGAATCCGAATCTACTCCCGGCTTCATCTGAAAAAAAAAAAAAAACGAGTTTTATTTTAGCAAAAGAGGAGTGAATCCATTTATAAAAATTTTAAAGAATTTAAAAAAAATTGAATTATTTTAACACCAATAATATTATATAACCAAATTATTAACCAAAATATATTATTATATATTTTATATTATTATATAACCAAAAATTTCCAGATCCTATATTATCATTAAATATAACTTAGTTCTTCTTCGTGAATTTTTGCACGAAGAAAATACATAATACGTAATATTATCTTCTTTACTATTGCTAGAGACAGAGTATTTACATTCTCACTTTATTCTACTTCTATATTATATATTGCATTGTGATTGACTGAAAACAATGACAATAATCGACAAAATATCAACATAAAATGAAATAGAATGAAAAACTTTACAGTATCGACAATATATACAGTAGTTCCTAAACAAAAAAATTCTGTTTGTTTATAATTGATATTTTAATTGGGACATTATGTTATTGCAGAATCGTTCTATTTCATTTTGTTTCGATATATCCATAGACTTTTGTTATTATTCTCAACCAATAGTAACAATACATAGCAAGGAAAGTAAAATATATTAAAGCAATATATTAAGCAACTCTTATGTCTTGAAAGTGAAGATATTATTTCCATTACTATTGTTAGATTAGATAAAAGTATGTCACGTGGCACGATGTAACTCTTAAACCAAGAGCACTTTTGAAAAAGTAACTAGTTAAAATTTTTAATAAAGTTAAATATATTTAATAATTTTATTTAAAATGAATTGAATAACATTTATTCGTAGTTATTATAGTTGATTCGCTCTTCATATAATTTCAACTATTTAATATTAGTAGTTTAATATAGTAATTTGCTATTATTTGATCTTTAAATAAATTATTGAAGTAATTTTATTCTTAACTTATCGTTAAAATTGTGCTCATCTCTGCTCTTGATTTATAGTAGACCAATTCACTATGCCATTTCTCCCCACTTCTGAGTCCCCCCCACTATATACTTTTTGAAGCGTAGAAAATGGATAAAGGAAAGGATAGAAGCCTACATTATTGTACATATATATTTTCAATCATATGAAGCAAAACAAGATAGCAAAATATTGGAATGATTAATATAAGGAATTGGCATAGTGATGTTGAGAAGATATTGTTTAAATCTGACATAACATTATTTCTACTATTATTGTTATGTCTACTAGATTAGGTATAGATTTGTAACACGATACAATTCTTGGTTTCGCACAATGGAGATAATATGACGTTATATATTCTTTTCTTCTAAGGAAATTGAATCACGTTTAGTGTTAATGTAAGATCTAGAAATTTTTCTTTTGTGATTTTGAACAGTAGTGAGATACAGTAATGCCTGCTTTGGTATTCATATTATTCATATTATTTGGTATTCATAAAGAAAACATTTATTTATATAAACAGGTAATTGTTGTTATATAATTAAATTATAGTAAAAGGAAAATATGAATGAAATAAAAAAATTAGTATCGTATATAATAAAGTTTTGTTCAGCAAACTTAAACTTTACTTTAAGATCCTATTTCCAAGAAGAATTGATGGAGATAACGACGTTAATATAAGCAAAAATATGGATTCTAAAATGGATATTACTATTATCTTTTTATCACAAATCATTTATGCATTATAATAATGAGATATCTCACGTTATAATATTAATGATAATGATAATTATGTAGAAAAGGAGATATGCTGATTTCAATGACATTCATCATTTTTTAGAATTAATATTTTGAATAATATTTTTTTTGTTACGTATATACGTATAAACATCACTTAGTTTTAATTTAAAGATATTTTATGTTTTCAATGTTACAATAGATAATTGAATTTCTAAAATCTAATAAATTTCTATTCAGTTTGAGATATGTTCATAATAAATTTGGACTAGTTTTGAATCAATTTTAATCTGGAAAAAATGTCATTTTTTTTATTCTAAATTTTTTAATAATATATTTTTTTATATCTTAATAAATGATACATGAGATTATTTTGTTTAGCATTGTATCAATAATAGTGATTAAAATCATGATAGTGATTAAAAAATAATATTTTTTAAATATATAATAATATTATTGAGTTATTATTTATTATTATTATTTATTAATTATTGACTTAATAATTCTTTTTCAAATTTTAAAAATTTATAATTTTTTTTCAAATTTATAAGCTTCTCACAATTTACATCGAAATATCAATTATTTTTTTTTATTAATAATATATAATAAAATCAACAATTATATAGAATAAATAATTATATCAGTTTATCGTTTGAAACAATTATGGAAATAATATCATAACGATTATAATAAATAAAAAAAAATTCTATTTTCTAAAACTTTGTTTCAATCCTCGAATAGAAAATACGCAAATACAATTTATTAATTTATCATTTTTACCTTTGAAAGACACCTTGGTCAAATATTGAAAGATATCCTCGTTCGGGAGCCGCATCTTGTCGCAGAGGCCTCTCCAGTTTTCACCGCAAACATTCCTTTGCATATCGTGAAGCGCGTAAGCAACTGCGTACACTGCGTCTCGAACAAAGTGTAGGAATCTTCGTTGTTTGTAGCCATTGCTCCGTTTGATTTTCAATTTCGGATCTCGGCAATCGATACGTTCTAACTAAAATTTGTCCATATTTAAATAACATTTTAACACATTTTGAACACGAATCAAATTTGAAATTTGATACGATCATTAATCTTATTAATTTAGAAAATATACATAAATTTTCAAGACATGTTTTTTTTTCTTGAAATAGTTAAAAAAAAACAGTTTTAGCTTTAATTATAAAATAAATTCGATTATATTTCAATAAATATAAATATAAAATTTATTAGTTTTTCGAGATTTTAATGAAAGATTTTCACTACTTACATTAAATTTTATATGTAATTATTTTTTATTTAATATAATTCTCTTGTAAAAATCTTTGTCAAATGTTTAGTAATTGATTTTGGCATTTGAGAATAATTTATAGGGCGTCTTATATAAAATTTTCAGTTACTTTTATGAAAAATTGCAAATATTGGCGATTCTTCATGGTTATTTTTAAATATTTTCATCTAATATTTATTACAGAATAATTTCTATCCTGTAATCAAAGCATTGTCAAATGTTTTTACAAATTGGTACTTTTTTATTTTTATACTTGACGTTGCATTCAATTTTATAAAAATGAATGATCAAATTTTTTGTGAATTGTAAATAGGACATCCTGTATATATTGAGGCCGATAAAGTTGAAAGTTATTAGTTACTCAATAATAATAACTATTACTACTATCAGTAATATTTATATATCCAGTTTTTTCTTATATATAATTAAAATTTAAAAACTAATTACAAAAAAGTATTAAATATTAATATATTTCTCATGTTATATTAATAATATATAATATATAATAATATATACATTATATTTTATTATTTTTTAGTATAATGCCATAATCAAATGATTTTCTTGATATTCAATTAAGAATATTTAAAGATTATTTAAAATATTGTATATACATTATCAATTGTCAGATTTGAAGAAAAAAATATTTGACAAAATCAAAAATAAAGGATATGATAAAATAGTGCATAATAATAGTAATAATGTATTAGAAAATATCTATAATTAAAACAATCAAAGCAAAAAGAGGAAATACAAATTATTCATATGCATATATGTATATATTTAAACGATTATAATTAGAACTCAAAATAATAATTAATCAAAATTATTATGAAATATTGTTCCACTAAATTTTACCAACAGAAAATAAAAAAAGAAAAATATTGAAAATCGTGGATCTAAGTTTTTGCCATGGATTACATATTATTAAAAATTTTTATTAATATCTCAATCAAATTAATAATTATTCTAAACTAAAATTTTAGATATATATTTTTCTTCTTTCAACATATCTATAAATTTCGTATTCGGTAATCGAGGTCTTTAGAAATTACAATCTAAAATATTTGACAAAATGTTGAATAAATGTTGAATAAATAGATATATAAATCGAATAATATAATAAAAGATAAATCGTAGATATATAGCTAGGTTGAAAAGTAAAATTGATATACAATTAATAATGTATATAATAATGTATATAAAAGAAAAAATTACTCAAAATGATGCTTCTTATATTTATATAAGAATAATATAATATTTTCCAAGGTCAAAATTAATAAGGAAGGAGTTAATTGATAAATTTATTGAAATTTCTAATATACATTGTTTAATAACAGAAAGAGGGATGAGATATATAATTTTTATTCCATTTAGTATCAAACAATGATATTCTTATATCTGACTTTCTGCCATTCCTCTCACAATATCTATCTCACAATATCTATAAGTAATTCATCTCAGATTTCGCCTTTTCTTAAATATAAACAATTGATATTATAATTTATCAATTGTTTATATTAATAATCTTATAATAAAAGTTTATTATAAACATCTATTTGAGTGTATTAATTTAATCTCTTTTCATAATTATAATAATTAATAACATTTTGCTATTTATAAATAATCACATATTACTTAATATTAATAATAATTTAATATTAATAATAAATTAATTCATCTCAGATTTCGCTTTTTTTAAAATATAAACAATTGAATATTGCAATTTATTATATTAACTGTAATTATATTAATTGTTTATATTAACTGTAAAAGTTTAGCATAAGATAAGCATCTATTTGAGTGTACTAATTTAATCTCTCTTTTTATAATATAATTTTTATAATTATGATAATTAATAACATTTTGTTACTTATAAATAACAATAATAATCACAAGTCCCATTTAATCTAATACAAACTTTAATTGTAACTTAATAAGTTTTAATCGATTTAATTTTATTCCATCTTTTTTTAACTTTTAGAATTAATCCAAAAATACAACATATATATCATAATTAATATAATATTAATTAATATATGTCAAATAATATAATATAATGTAATAAGAATATAGGATTGATAAAGATGAAAATTTAATGTAAATTTAATAATATAATGTAATATCATATAAAAAAGTTAGTGCCATAGAATGCTTATTCAGTGATTTATTCAGTTACAGTGAAATGTAACGCTTAAGAAGTTAAAACTTCATGGAAAAATATATTTATAATTTCAAAATAGATGTGTGTATCTATATACTATAGATCGCTATAACACAATACGCAATTCTTTCGATTATATTATCTTAAATTCAATCATAAGGATTTGATAATGCTAGAGAGAACTGATACTTGTTTAAATTTATTCATAAAAATTCGATTATTTAATGTTTAAATTTCATCAATTTATCAATTTAATCGAATAGAATTATTTAAAATTTAAAAAAAAAAATATACTTAGCCTTACTTTAAGTTCTTGTTTTTATGTTTTACACGGGATTTTTGGTAATTGAAAATGACCATTTTTATTACTAAATATGTGCATTGAAAAAATGCTATTCATCATTTAAGCTATTTAAAAAAAATTTTACTTTAAGTTATACTTTGACTAACTTAGCGTTACTTCAAGTTCTTGTAATTGTATTGCATAAAATTTTTGGTAATTGAAAATAAACAATAATCATTTTCGTATTACTAATGTGCATTAAAAGAATATACTTCACAAATGATATTTATGATATGTTAACTATGCTCATTTAGTATAAAATATTTATCCATCTATTTGAATGTACTAATTCAATCTTTCCTGTATTAAACATTTACTTGAGTGTATTAATTTAATTTCTTTAGTATTAAGATAAGATAAATATCTACTTGAGTGTACTAATTCAATTTCTTTTGTTTTAATATAAGATAAATATCGACTTGAGTATAGTAATTTAATCTCTTTTATATTAGCATAGAATAAGCATCTACTTGAGTGTACTAATTTAATCTCTTTTATATTAGCATAGAATAAGCATTTATTTGAGTGTCCTAATTCAATTTTTCTTTTATCAAGTATCTATTTGAGTATTAATTCAATCTCTTTTATATTAATATAAGATAAATATCTATTTGAGTGTACTAATTCAATCTTTTTTATATCAAGCATTTATTTGAATGTACTAATTCAATCTTTCTTTTGTATTAAAATAAAATAAACATCTATTTGAGTTTACTTAATTCAATCTCTTTTGTATTAATATAAATATTTAGTTGAGTGTATTAGTTCATATTTTTTTTATTATATTGAAAAAATAAATGATATTTTAATAAATTTTGAAATATAAAATTTGAATTATAAAATAGAAATGCAATGTCTTATAGATTTCAGATTTTGAGAATAATACTAACAATAATACTAAGAATAATACCAAGAATAATTCATTTCAAGTGATAATTTTTAAATTTTTAAAATATAATATCATAGATTAGCAGAATATTATTCTTTAATTTCAATAAGATTGCTAATATAATAATTAATACTTGCAAATTATTATCGTTAATACATATATTAAAAAATAAAATATCTGTCTCTCTTCATATTTATTTTGTTCAGTCTATATCATTACAAAATCTTTACAAAACAAGAAAAAAATATTTATGTTTGCAAATCTAATTTACTTTCTTTTTTCATTTTATTATTATTATTTTTTTTTCATTTTTAATATGCTTTCATGTCTAAATACAAACAGGATGTTCAACAAGATAAAACAAATAAAATTTTATAAATAATAGAAAATCCATATTTAAAATGGATATTTATTTAAAGATATTCACAATAATTAAATTATAATCACAATGATATAATGAGTTTCATTATGGTATGAATATCATAGAGAAAGATAAAAATACAAGAGTATCATTTAAATTATGTACAAAGAATGTAAATTTAAATTTATTTAATAAGTTTATTAAGTTTGAAATGTAAGTTTATTTCGAATTTTTAGTTAAAAGATATTATATAACTATACTTCTATGGGCACTATCAAAATTATAATGTCGTAGACAGGAATTAGCGATTTCGCAAAAAAATTTCAAGCAATTTTTTCTTTCCAAAATTTTTCGTTTCGATTTTGTTAACGATTTATTAAAAATATTGACCACATAAATCACAGAACGCGTAAATTTGTCGCAACAACTACATATCTAACATCCAATACGCACTCTATAATCGGCGTTATTGATTTAATAATAAATTTTAATAATAATAATTAATAAACTCGTAAAAAATTTTTGAAAAGCAAAAGATACTTGAAATCATCAATTAAGCTTTATCGATCGATTCTTGACATGTCTGACATATTATATACTTTCATAAGAATCAACGGCTAAAGTAAACGATATGAAAAATTTATATTTATTTTGGATGAATACAATTGAACGACTTAAGAAATTAACATTGCACGACTTCTATTTAAATAGAATATATATTTTTTTTTATTATGCTTTAGAAATATGGCACAATCGTATAATCAAAATTTTTATAAATATTAAATTTAATTAATAATTATTATTAATTAAATTAATTTAATTAATAATTTCTTGAAATTATGCTTTAGAAATATGGCACAATCGTATAATCAAAATTTTTATAAATATTAAATTTAATTAATAATTATTATTAATTAAATTAATTTAATTAATAATTTCTTGAAATTATGCTTTAGAAATATGGCAC